CTGTGTTATAGTTTTTCAATTTTACTTTTAAATCTGTAATTTTGGCCAAGACCGGTTTGGCTCAATGGATAGAGCGTTGGCTTGGGGACTGAAGGGTCCTGGGTTTGATTCCGGTCAAGGGCATGTACCTTGGTTGCGGGCATATCCCCAGTAGGGGGTGTGCAAGAGGCAGCTGATCGATGACTCTCTCTCATCGATGTTTCTAACTCTCTATCTCTCTCCCTTCCTCTCTGTACAAAATCAATAAAATATATTTAAATCTGTAATTTTGTTGTTAATCTTCACCTGAGGATATTTTTTTCCATTGACTTTTAGAGAGAGGGAGGGAGGACAAGAGAGAGAGAGACATCAATGTGAGAGAGACACATTGATTGGTTGCCTTTTATAGGCACCCTGACCAGGGCCAAGGATTGAACTTGCAGCAAAGTGTGTGCCCTTTGACAGGGAATTGAACCCATGATCCTGCAGTGCACAGGCCAGCACTCTAATCACTGAATACACTATCCAAGGCCTGCGATTTATTTTTATTTAATATTTGCTTTTGATGTGAGGTATAGGTTGAGGTTCAAACTTTGCATATGAATATTCAACCACCAACTATTGAAAAGGCAACCTATTGAATTGTTTTCATACCTTTGTCAAAACTTTGAACAGACACTTCATAAAAGAAGATACATGAATAGTAAATAAGCATGTGAAAATGTCTTCAACATCAGGAAAAGATCTTCATTGTTAGAGAAATGCACATTAAAACCACAATAAGTTATCACCGCCTACCTTTCAGACTGGCTAAAATTAAGTGTTGGTGAGGACATGTCAGATCTGGAACTCTCAGACACTGTAGGTGGGAATATAAAATAGTACAAACTATTTGAAAAGAGTTTGCCAGTTTCTTTAAAAATTAGTCACACAATTACCACTTCTTCCAACCTAGAGAAATGGAAACATATGTACATACACATGTCCAAAAACTCATACATGAAAGTTCATAACAGCTTTATGAGTAATAACTAAAACAGGACTCAGCCTGAATGCCCATTAAGTGAACAGATAAGCAAAATGGATACAGATACAGTGGAGTATTAAACAGCAATAAAAAGGAATGAACTATTGATACATGCTGCAACGTGGATCATTCTCAAAATAATTATATTAAGTTCAGGGAGCAAGACAAAAAGCAATTTCTGTATGATTTAATTAATATTAAATTTTAAGAAATGTAAACAAACATAAATGATAGGAAGTAGATCAGTGATAGCCAGGAGTTAAAGTAGGTAGGTAGAGATGAATAGGAAGAAAGGATTACCAAAAGACACAAGGAAACTTTGGGAATAATGGATATGTTCATTAACTTGATTGAAGTGTCAAAATTTATCATCTTGTAGCCTTTCATTGTGTGCGGTTGGCTGTAAGTCAATTATATCTTAATAAAACTCTTTAAAATTGACTATATTTCTGGGGTCTCTATGCTATTCCACTTGTCTATGTGTTTTTTCAGTCTATACCATCCTGTTTCAATCACAGTAGTTTTATTTATTTAATTAGTTCTTAATTATGAATTTTAGAGAGAGAGAAAAGAAGGGATGGAAGAGTGAGAGAAACATCAATTTGTTGTTCCACTAATTTATGCATTCATTGGTTGATTCTCACTAGTGGCCTGAAAGGAAATTGAACCCATAACCGTGGTGTATTAGGAGGACACTCTAACCAACTGAGTTACCTGGCCAGGGCTTATAGTTTTATTTCATAGTATATATTAAAATCAGGAAATGTGAGTCTTACAATTTGTTCTTTTCAAAATTGTTTCGAGTATACTAGTTCCTTGGTTTTAAATGCAAATGTTGTAATTAGCTTGTCTATATCCACAAAGAATCATAATGGGATTTGCTTGGGATTGCCATCTATAGATCAATTGGGTATGTTTGACATTTTAACTATAATGATAATCTAATACATGAATGGAATATGTCTTCTCATTTATTTAGGTCTTCTTTGATGTCTTTTCTCAGTGTTTTGTAGTTTTTACCATTTATATCTTGCACATATTTTGTTAAAGTTATAGCTAAGTATATCATATTTTTTCCCCTTCCAATTAATTTATCACTTGTAGATATAGAAAAATGAGTTATTTTTGTTTAGTGACCTATCCCATGATCTTACTATACATACTTGGTTTTAGAAGCTTTTTTTTTTTTTTTGTACCTTTCTTAGGATTTTCTACGTCAACTATAAGAAGGACATTTTACTTCTTCCATTCCACTTTGAAGCCTTTTATATCTTGTCTAATTACAATTGCTAGGATTTCTAGTACAGCTAGGGTCAGAACTAACTATTCTTGTCTGTCATCACCCGAGGATATTTTCCCATTGACTTTTAGAGAGAGTGGAAGGGAGGGGGAGAAACAGAGAGAAATAAATATTGATGTGAGAGATACACATCAATTGGTTGCCTCCTGTATGAGCCCGACCAGGACTGGGGATCAAGCCTGCAACTGAGGTGTGTGCCCTTTACTGTAATCGAATCCAGGACCCTTCAGTCCTTGGGCTGATGCTCTATCCACAGAGCCAAACTAGCTAGGGTTCCACTGACCACTAATAAAGGGTAATATGCTATGTGTCCAGTCTGTCGTTCAACCAATCAAAGTGTAATACGCAAATTATATGCTAAGGCCACTCAACCACTTGCTATGACATGCACTGACTACTGGGAGCAGACGCTCTGACCAGTAGATTAACTTGCTGCTGCTGGTCCAGTCGATAGGGACTGAGCGAGATGGGCCAGACAAGCTCTGGAGCCCTCCCGTGGTCCTTTTCTGGCTGGCCAACATCCCGTATCCCTCCTCGGCCCCTATCATTCACTGGCGGGGTCCCTCAGCCTGACCTGTGTCCTCTCACAATCCTGGACCCCTCGAGGGATGTTGGAGAGTCAGTTTTGACTTGATGGCAGAACAACTTGTCACTATGAGATGCACTGACCACCAGGGAGCAGATGCTCAACACAGGAGTTGCCCCTTGGTGGTCAGTAAGCTCCTACAGGAGGAGTGCCCCTGAGCCAGATGCCAGGCTCATGGCTGCTGAGCACAGTGGTGGTGCTGTGATCCTCTCCCACCTCCGTAGCAGCAGTGCTAAGTTTGTCCGACTGGAGGCTTAAGCCCATTCCCCTCGAGGGCTCCTGGACTTCTAGAGAGCACAGATTGGGCTGAGACCCCTCCCAACCCCCTCCCCCCCCCCCAAGTACACAAATTTTGTGCATTTAGCCTTTAGTTCTTAACATAAGAAAAAAAGAGAAATAGCCAGGCAAGTCCCTGTCAGTGTGATGCAGGAGGGATACACAGTCAGCCATGAAGTAGTTTTCTTGACAAAAAATTAAACCAGAAGCAGACCAAAAAAGAAAAGTTCAGGATAAGACCATAGGATGCCAAAAAACAACCCAATGATCAAGAAAAATAACATTTTAATGCAATATTTTAAAAAAATCAAAATTAATTAAAAATGCATGATAAAAAAAATGCCAACATTTTAAACAATGGTAAGGTCAGTAAAGGTTTTTCCTTTGCTACAGGTTCCATATGGCTCTACTCTGGTGTCGAGTCTAGATCAGATGACCATTTTACAGTAATTACAAGGATAGAAGAAATGTTGAATGAATCCAGTATGTGGGAAACTACAGGATGATGATGATGAGTTCCTTCATGAAATTGCAAGAAAAAAATCCCCTGCAGTGCCTGAGTGTATAGTAGGTTACATAGATGTGCTCACTTTATGATGCTTTGGCAAGCCATACCTCATGATATGGGTATTTTTCAGCTATTGTATTGTAATAAAATGTTTTTTAAAAGATAAGGAAAAAGCACTTAAAACAGGTACTAGGTTCAGGTGATTTGATTTTGGTTGTTTATATAATTTTTTTAAAATGTTGTTTTTTAATGTTTAGTAATTTTTTAATAATTTATTACTATATAATTTATATAACTATGATTACTACCAAGTGTCTAGTTATGTTATATAATTTATAATTTTATAATTTATACAGTATACTTTTATGAATTATAAATTTAAGCCAAAGTTTTAAAAATACTTCTCTAGCTCATAATTATTAGAGATGCATACTGAAGTATATAGGGGCCAACTGAATGAAGCATTTGGATGTGTTTTTATTTATTTTGAAATATAGTTTTTATTGATAGTATTACAGATATCTCTCATTGCCTTCTGCTACCCTGATATGTTTTAAAATATCTTAGCAATTGCCCTAGCTGGCTCAACTCAATGGATAAAACATCAGCCTGTGGACCAAAGGGTTCCAGGTTCAATTCTAGTCAAGGGCACATGCCAGGATTGCAGGCTTCATCCCCAGAAAGGGATGTGCAGGAGGCAGATGAACAATGGTTTTCTCTCATCATTGATGTTTCTCTCTCTCTCTCTCCCTCTCCCTTCCTCTCCGAAATCAATAAAAATAAAAAATAAAAATAAATACCTTAGCAATTAATCCAGAAACTATGCCCTAAGGAAATTTTTAGTTACAAAGGAGGAAGAGAAAGAGAAGGTGAAGAAGAAGGAGGAGAAAAAAAAGAAAGGAAGGAGGAAAGAAAAAGTTCTAAATGAAGTAAATGCGGGGAAAATGATGATTGTTGAATCTGGGGAACATATTAGAGTTTATATTCTCTAATTTTGTGTTTGCTTAAAATTTTCTAATCATAAAATTATAAATAAAATAACCTGACATCCTACCTGTTGTCATTTTCTACCCCATTACCTTGTTTTATTTTTTGTCTAAACAATTACCTTGTTTTATTTTTTGTCTAAACAATTATCTTTTTTATGGGTGTATTGCAGGCCTCCTCCAAGAAAAATATAAGCACAAGGAGAACAGAATGTACCCGAGTCTTGTTCACTTCTTTCCCAGCAACAAAAAAGTTAAAACAATGAAGTTTGTCAGTATATTATATCTAACATAATTTCTCAAACAGTTGATGTCTGGTAATGGATACTTTATTTCTTTATTATTTAAAAAGTGCTGAGATTTTTCTCAGCACAGCCTCACTTTTTGACCCAAAGGGATCCCAGCTCCTCACAGGTGTCTCAACTCCTTTTTCCTTGGATAGAGTCAGACTTTGATGGATGCAGAGACTACATCCCCTCCAGGAGATCTTCACAGTCATTTCATAGTCCTGAGAGCTCATTGTCTGCCAATGGGTAACAACTATACAGCCCAGGACTTTCATTTGACCTAATGTTAATGTCCCCTGAAATCAAGCTATTGATTTCAAAGTACTTTGGGCTTTATAGACCCATCTTCCTTAAATTGTTGTAAGGTCATGCTCAACAAAGAACAGATGCAGCACTCTATTAATCTGCAATCATCAACTTCTAATCAGTTTCCAATGTCAGAGTCAGCTTCTCCATCTTTGAAGAGACTCTGCAACTGAGAACAAGAAAGTTTCTGTTCCAAAACTTAGCTCCTTAAAAGTAAAAGCACAGTTGAAATTTCTCACATGATATTCCTTGTGTTTAAAAATAGAACAAATCTACTTGCCTTTCTCATTTATTTTCTGTTCTCGGTTATAGGTCTGTGGACTTACGGTATTAGAAGAGTCATTTTTAGATAATGAAAATATTTACTCATGCTCATATTTGTTCTTTCTCTGAAGTCTGCTCCATGGTCCACTTGAAACAACATATTAGAGCCCCAAGTACATTTGCACAAATGAATGGATCTGAGTTGCTAATTGGGTTGGCCCTTTGGAATGTATCCCAGGTGCTTCAGGATGGGAACACTTCCCTCATTTTACACAGATGAGAGGCAGCTTCAATGGTTTCTTGGTCCCAACTCCATCCCTAAGATCCTCCTATCTCTCATAGGTATTCGCATTCCTTTTCAGATTCTTCATGTGTTCAGAGTTCAGGAGTCCTCGTTCCAGGTTTAATTATGCAGATTATACTTTCCCATAGGTTATGATGGGACATCACAGGCACTCCAAGGTACATTCCAGGGTCAGCGTGTTTCAGGACAAGGCATTGTCAATGAGTCCTTGGAATCTATGTGGCCTTTGAGAGGGCCTGCTTGGATGTTTGGAAACACTAAACTTATAGCACACTGTACAATATTTTTAAGGTGAAGAAAACAAGTTTTTATTCAGTGTCCATTCAAAAAATATTTCCTAAACTCCAGCCATGAGCCAGAGTTAATTAAATGCAATTGAGCTACATGATCTTTACCTCAAGGTTCATAATCCTGCAAAGAAAAGATATATAAACAATTGACTCTAATGCAACGTGATTAGTGCTCTAGGTAAGTCTTTTCTATACTTCATAGGATGAGTATATATGGCTAAGAGTTTTAGTGATGACATTTTTTTGGAAGCAATTTCTTTAAACTAGTATTGTGTACTTTTCTTTAATCCTTACAAGAACACTGATGTTGTAGGTATTATCATCATTCTATCTATGAGGAAACTGAATCTTAGAGAGGTGAGACAGGTCTCAGAGTCTGGAAATTAGCAAGGCTGGAATATAAACTAAGATCTTTTTTATTCCACAAAGATGAAGGTGTAAATTAGACTCTATGCAGAATATTGGGTTATAATCCCTTAGGGCTATGTCCCAAGTTGGACACCAGAGGGCGCTGAGAGCAAACCAATGGGAGGAATTTGCCTCCAGGGGCTACCATTTTGAAATTCATCTTTGAAGGTGTGTTAATAAGCACAGTGTTGAGAAAGCAGGTCTAAATGTACTGCACATTCCAGTTACAGATAAGGGCAAGGATCACTTAGGCTTCATCTTTCATCTAAAACATTTTAGCCCACTATTTCTTTTATCCACAGTATAGAATGCATGTGGAATTTAACTAGATTTATGTGTATGTCTTGGTTGCTTCTACGCATCCATAGCTGATTACAAATCAGGACTGCTGTGCAAACAGCTGCTCAACTAGACACTGGTTCAAGTGAAAGTAGCTCAGTTTACCTGGCCCATCTACATGCCCATCATTGTGAGAGGTGCTTTATGTGATGAAGTCCTCAGGCTATCGCCTATAGGATTATGTTCCCATTATGGAATGGGCACTCACCTGGATTGAAGGTAGTGCTGGAACCAGAAGTCAACATTCCTGGTTGTTTCAATTCTTTCCTCCTAGAGCATTGCCATTAGTTTATAGATGCTTTTCCATCATGTTTGCCACTTACAATATAGAATATGTGCTGAATTGGAAAAAAGGAGTTCACATTTTAGGGAAAGTAGTTAAAAATAACCAGTGACCAACGTGTCTTCAAATATATCCTTTCTCAGTGTTTCAGTCCTGCATAGCAGAAAGCAAGCAGAGCCGTTTTTTACCCAGCCACACCCTGGAATGATACAATGGTAGGTGTGGACGCACCTCTGGATCAATAGAGCCTTCCCCCAAGACATATGGTGGAGGGTTAGGGTAGTTTGCCCCTTATTCTATGTTTAGAGAAGGGACAGCCAACAACTTGTTTAAGTAAAGAAGTTATATGAAATAAGATGAGTTTGGAAGCATTAAGAGGGACCAGACACTAAGGCTCTTGGGAGAAGGGGGAAGTACTTGGGGGAGAGGGAGCATGCAAGAAACATTTCAGGACTAGAACCAACAGCTGAGTTGTTGGCCCTCACACTCTTTGGGTGTTTACTGTGTGCAATTTAAGTATTTTACTGGCACTTATTTAATCCTCACAAATCAAAGGAGGGGAGAATATTATTGTCCACCTTTTATGGGAAAAGAAACTGAGGCACAGATAAACAAAAGTTATTTGTGAAAGGTCACTAGGATTTGAACCCAGCTGTCAAAGCCCAGTACCTGCACTCTCCATATGTCATGCAGTCTCTTTTCCAGTCTGGGGCCATGGGAGATGGTGGTGTCCCTGGCTGGGATGAGAAGTCAAAAGGAACATGTGTAGAACGTGCAGATTGAGGAGTGTGTTTTGGACATGTGTATAGTTTGAATGTTCTGCCAGCACCTCAGGTGAAGATATCCAACAAGCTTTGAATCCCAATATGGAGAGAGAGCTGGTTTTCATTAAAAATGAAACATCTGTAAAATACTGTTGGCTGAGATTCCCAGTCAAATTATTCAAGAAAGACCTTCTATGCTAACAAACAGGAAGCCCAGGCTCCTACTGAAAGTTTTGCCAGAGCTTTAGAAAGAGCAGGTTCATTAGCAAGGTATTCAGGGTCTCTGGGCTCATGAAGGTCTGCAAGAGAGACCAAGTCCAAGCCTTGAAAATGGAGGAGGGGATGGATGAGTCTAAGGTCCCCTCAATTGTTTTGAGTGCCCTCCTCATTCTAAGCAATCTGTGCTTCTCATGCTGCCTGCCCATTGGAATTGCCTAGGGAGTTTTAAAAAACACTGATTCCAAGGCCTCATCCATAACTAATTAAATCAGACTAAGTCAGGGTAGACACAGGCAGTCTGAAAAGCTCTCTGGGTGATTCTAACGTGAGGCTGGGGGTAAGCACCAGAGCACTAGAAGGAGGGTTTTTCTTTAAAGATGATCAGAGCAGAGGGTAAAGTCTACAAAGTACTTGTCAGTTCATAAAGCATATACATGGCTTTATATTAAGGAGCACTGGATGGATGGGGAAACTTTGAATCAAAAAGAGAAATTACTTGCTGAAGGTCAAAACAGTTACTTATTAAAAAAGCTAGAACACAGATTTGCTGACTCCAAATTTGGGTTCCTTCATAAGATAACATAGGGCAATACTACAAATTGAAGGCCAAGTTCATCTGTATTCACAGTGAAAGGTGAGGATACAGGTGTTTGTTTGTTTTTCAAAGAAATTATGGTCCACGGGATTGAATCAAAAAACAGAGCTGCAGCCTGTGTGCCAGAGCATAAAGGAGTGGAAAAGTCTGAGCTAACCAGGCCCAGAGCTGGTGAAGCCCAGAGAGCCTGCGGCCAGGCGAGGGTCACGGCATTGCCCAGGATGAGGAGGCCTTTGAGCCACCTATAGCTGGTAGTGGTGGGAAGGGCAGATCTGAGTAATTCCTGGAGGCAGATCTGAGTAATTCTTCTGGGTCTTCAAAGGGACCCACTATGTTACTAACCAGATAATGAACACCAGCTAATTTGTATAGAGCTATGTAATTTAAAATACTTTATCTTTTTCCATTTTAACAATGGCTTGGAATATTATTCTACCTGGGGCATTGAAAGGATAACTGAAAGAATGCTTCTAATAAAATGCCCAGCACATAGGAGGTGCTGAAGCACATAGGAGGTGCTGAATAAATATTAGCACCTTTTGTGTTTCCTTTATTTATTTATTTATTTATGTATTTATTTATTTATTTTAGATGAATTTTAGTATCATTTTATTTTATTTATTTTTTGTTTATCTTAATCTGAGGGTATTTTTCCATTGAATTTTAGGGAGAGTGGAAGGAAGGAGGAGAGACAGAAAGAGAGAAACATCAATGTGAAAGAGATACATTGATTGGTTGCCTCCTGTAGACTCCCTGACGAGGGCCAAGGATTGAGCCTGCATCCTAGGTACATGCCTTTGACTATAATCAAACCCATGACCCTTCAGTCCACAGGCCAACACTCTATCCACTGAGCCAACCCGGCCAGGACTGTGGTTATTTTTAATGTGGAGGTGCAGTTCAGTGATGCTGAGTACAGTCCGGTGGTGGTTAGAGTGTGGGTTCCAGCACCAGCTCTTATCAATGTGGCCATTAAATCTTGGAAGAGTTAGTCATTTATCTCCACACTATCTCTGTTTTTTCTGGTGTAAAATAGAGATAATATCTGAACCTATCTCACATTTCTTAAGAAAATGAGATAACACATGGAAAACTCTCAGCATAGCCCCTGGCATCTAATCACTCTTCAATAATTATTAACAAATTCCATTAAATGTGGCCTGCCTCAACTCCCCCCAAATAGCAAGCAAATAAACGAACACTGAAGCCTTGAACAGTGCTCTTTCTGTGACACTCAGGCAGCTTCCAGTGATAATGGATATTAACCCCAGGAAAAGGAGCAACTGCATTTAGGCACTGACATCAAGACAAAGCACTCTGCAGGGAGATAATGAGGCTAAGTGGAGCTAGTAATGGCCTAAGGTCACAGAACTAGGAAGTGGGGGTTGGCATGTGGGAATCACATTGTGTGACCTCTAGTCCCACACCTTTGTTCTCAGAATCATCAGGCAGGCTTGTTAAAATCCAGATTCCAGGCCCTGTTTCCCAGAGTTTTTGATTCAGCAGGCCTGAGAATTTGCATTTTTAACAAGTTCAAAAGTGATGTCACTGCCAGTCCAGGGAGATCACATCTAGAGAGCTTGGTCTACTGCTCTGTGATTCATTGTGATGAAAGGGGTGGTGCTCTAACATTTGCATAAACTCTGCCACCTCTCAGGCGACCACAAGCCCCAGGGAGCCACAGGCACACTCAAGAAATGTTTTGGTTAAGTATTTCAGGGCCTCATGACACACTAACCACAGCCTTGTCAGGAGGCAGATTTTTGTCAGGCGTGATTTCAGAGCCAACACTCTGGGTTGAGTGTTTTATTTATTTTTTAAAATAGATTTTCATTGATTTCAGAGAGGAAAAGAGAGGGAGGGAGAGAGAAACATCAATGATGAGAGAGAATCATTGATTGGCTGCCTCCTGCATGCCTCCCACTGGGGATCTAGCCTGCAACCTGAGCATGTGCCCTGACCAGGAATCGAAAGAATGACTTCCTGGTTCATAGGTCAACACTCCACTCAACCACTGAGCCACACAGCTGGGCTTGAGTGTTTTATTTTTTTATTCACTTGACAGAAAACATACATTAGACCCTAGAAGACATCATGCAACAGGTTTAACTAGTTGCCACTGCATAAAATAACTCTTCTGGGCTCTGAGGACTCCCTGGATGGCCTAGGACAGCCCAAAGAGAAGAAGAACCCTGCCCCAGAGAAGAGGCTGGCTGCCAGGCTTCCCCGGAGCCCATCCCACAGTCTTACAGAGCCGTGACATTCACACACTGGCTGGACAGCATCACAAAAGTGGTTGTGTTGTATTGGGAGGAAGCGGTCTCCTGAACTAGAAGATGGCCTTAAAACCAGGGTGTCCAGACAATCTATATGCATTGCAAACATATAAATTAAGAGGTTCATATGTATACAAAATTCTTGAAAGGGGCCTTAAGTTCATTCTATGGCATGCCAGGTATTTATCAGAACCTGAAAACTGGTGGTTTTCAATGGAGCAGGTGTTAAAAATAGAAGGTATTTATTTATACATGGGCCCTGCTCCTCTCGTGTGCACCATGGAATCCTCTGGTGTTGTCAGGGCCTCTGGGCAATCTCAGCACCCCCACGGGTAACCCATCTGCAGTCTGCATCTTCCGAGAAAGCAGGGGACTTGCTCTGGGGCTCTTCTCCTGTGTCCCCATCTCAGCTTGGCGGCGCCTCTGAACCCAGGGGCTGCCAGAGGGAGTGACGCTGCTGTCAGAGGAATAATCCATGCACTTGTGAAGGATCTCAGGACTGGTGCTACAGTTCAGCCTACCTTCCTCAGCCAGTGGGGATTTTCTGGAAAAGCCTCTGCGTTGAGCCAAGGGACTGCTCCAAGGACTTGAGCATGGGGAGGCATTCGGACTCAGAAAGATATTCTGGTGGCCAGAAGGGCTGAGCTTATTGGTGACCACATGCCGCCGGCCAGCCATAGGGGATGTGGGATTGCTCTCAGGGTCAGAGGAGCTGTTAGCAGAAGACTCATCACCCATGTATTGAAGCTCCTCAATTCTCTTGTTCAGGGACTTGTTCAAGTGGATGCTTGTAGTGGGCTCCTCATCATGGGTCTTGTCTTTGGGAGATTTCTTTCTGGGTGGCTTCATACCAATCAGAACAGCTTTCATGTTCTCCTTGCCCTGAGATTCCATGATCATAAACTCATAGGCTTTGATGGCGGCTTCCACCTCCTCAAACTCTACAATGGCACATTCTTGGGTCCCCACCTGGCTGTACCGGCTGCTAATCCTCCGAATGTCAGGGGGCAGCTCTCTCCCAGGTTTGAGGATCCGCACTGATGAAATGACACCAAAGGTCCCAAAGAGCTTGAGTAGGTGTTCCATCACCTTCTCTTGCACCCTCCCATTCTTCTGAGGGGTGCCCAGAGCCCACAACTTAGGGGACAGGTAGAGATCATAGACCAGAAGCATCTTGCTGGGGAGGTTCTCATTGGGGAAGAGAGGGACAGGGGTGGTCCTCCTCACCTTCCGGTGGTCCTCATTCAACTCTAGGGTCAATGAGTACTTGAGGGCATGTGCTGTGGTTCTCCAGTCCCGTGTAAGGTGTTTCACCTGAAGAACACAAAGCAAATCTGAAATGGTACCCAATGTCCTGGTCTACCTTGTGTCCTCTGTAATCTCTCTCACACCTTTCCTTATTCCGGAGGACTGGTATCTATAATCATACTAGATGTGAGCAGGCACTCAAAAATCTAGTGAATGAATGAATGAACAAACACACTTTGCAGAATATCAAATGAGGCAGCACAGTTGAGAGCAGTGCTGTCCAACAGAACTTGTCATGCTGATGGAAATATTCTATCTATTCTGAACAAGTTTAGAGATTAAACCTGCAGGCTCTGGACAAAGGCTATTGGATGCACAAATGCAAGGCCCACCTCCAACTGGCAGTGAGAGCTAAAAACTTATTCAATCTCCAAGTGCCTCAACTTCCTCATTTGTGAAATGGGGATGTTAATATGCCTGCCTACCTCATAGAGTCAGTCTGAGAATTAAATGAATAAATATTGGGTATCCCCTCAAAAAATGTATATGCACTTTGAATGATTATAAACTCAGTGTTTATTAACATGCAGTTCATTTTCAAAATTTAAAAGAATCTACAGAAATTAATCATTTGTTTTGTCAATGCTTGTTTTCAAACTGATGACTGTTCTGAATTTGTATTTCTGCATTTATGCATTTGCTACAGCGGAGGTTCCAAAAAATGTTTCATATTTCACTGCAATATCTCTTGGAAATAATTTTAGCTGTTTCAACTTGGAATTAAATCCAACTTGGGCCTCATGAAGAATGATTAAATAGATCCCCTCCTCACTTAGTGGAAAGTGTGGGTATGCTGCAGTATGTGAAAGCTACATTTATGTCGTAAAACAGTAATTTTCAAGAGGCCCACTTTCAGTGAGGGAATTCCAAGAAGAATGAGTCATTCTGAAGAAACAGTGGAGATGGGTGGGGTGGGTGGCCTGATCCAGGAATGGCAAAATCACCCTGAGTCCTCTGAGGCCAGAGCAACTGCTCTGCAGAGGAACCAAAGCAGGAACTTCTCAGGACTCAGAAAGGACTCCCTCACAGAGCAGCATTGAGAGGATCGTGGCAGAGCTCTCAAGCATACATGTAGGCTCCTGCAAAGAGGACACTTCCACTCTAGCCTGTGACCTCCAGATGAAATAGCCGGATTTGTGCTTAGGATGTGGGAACCAAAAGTCACCTACACATAGACAACGGGCTGATCACTGTGATACAGGCTAAGGGCAGAGAAAAGTGGGCCCAGGGAAAGAGTCGGATTGGTGGTGAATGAGAGATCCAGAAAGGATGAAGATGATGACCGCAGGTCAGTGCCAGGTTGTGGGAGAGCCAAACAGTGGTCCTTTTGAGGGTAGAACATAGGGAGCCTTCTCCAAAACAGGTGAGGGAGGGAGTCTCTGGAGAGGGCAATCTACTGCCTAAGCTTGGAGCCTGAGCAGATGGTGCCTGAAGGAGGCCAGTGCTGCCTTGCTCAGAGGGTTGGAGAATTGGCCACGGGCCACGGCCCGTGGAGAAAGCAGGGTCTGGTAAGCACCCTTCCAGAGAAGGGAACAAGGTCCATGAGAAATTCAGTCTGAGCGTCCCAGGTCTGTGTCTGAGCTTTTAGAAGGAGTGGCTAGGCACCTAAGAAGAGGAAGCAGGGACAGGCTTTGTGCAATTACTAAAGAACTGTCATTTCCCTGTTTGTTACCTTTGTCATGTATGTTTATTATGATTAGCAGGAAACCTTGTCAAAGGAAAAAGGTCTTTGCTCTCATTTTGGAGGTATTGGGGAGTTTTTGTCCACTCTGAGGCTGGTTTTCAACAGAGAAGACACCTCCTAAATAGATATGTAAGTGGCAAGTTAAAAAGGAAAGAAAATCAAGATGACTTTTAGGGCATCTGAGGAGGAAAAAAGAAATGTATAGGATGATTCCAGTGGTTGTTGCATTTTGGGGCTCCTGACAAACACTTTGCATGTGAAAGCTTGCTCACTCTTCTCTGCACATGTGTGATACTGCGATTTATAATAAGAAATATATGTATTTGGTCTTCATTCTCATTCCTGGCACTGAGCTCCTGAAACCTTTTGTCAATTCCTAAGGGATCAGAGACTAGAAGCATCTTTTCTTCTAATGAGGGGACTCTGGGTGGGCTCCCAAAGCTCCTGGATGGGGCTGGTCACCAGAAAGACTGCATCATAATTAGAAACTTAGCACTTTCAGCCCTCTGCCCCATCCTCTGAGAGGGGAGAGAGGGAGGAAATGAAGTTAATAATGATCACTTTTATGTGAGGAAGCCTCCAAAAAAAATCCCAATAATAAGGGATTTGGAGAGCTTCCAGGTGGGTGAACACCTCTGCCTACATGAAAGGTGGCGCACCACAACTCCACTGGGACAGGCGTTCCTGTGCTCCCAAATTCCATCCCTTTGTATCTCTTCATCTGGTTATTCATCTTACCCTTTGTTATGTCCAACTGGTAAATGTGTTTCCCCGAGTTCTGTGAGCTATTCTAGCAAATAATCGAATCCAAGGGGAGGAGGCCACAGGAACCTCTGATTTGTAGCCAAATTGGACAGAAGTTGTGAGGAACCTAGGGACCCACTACTTGTGATTGGCACCTGAAGTGGGAGTCAGTCTGTGGGACTGAGTCCTTAACCTCTGGGATCTAATGCCATTTCCAGGTAGGCAGTGTCAGAATTGAGGTGAAGTGTAGGACACTCAGCTGTGTCACAGAAATGCTTGGTGTGGGAACCCTCCCCTCACTTCTATTAAAGTGTGAGTGTGGGAATAGTATGACAGCAAAGGAGGAAGAGTAGGTTTTCCTATGGAACATGAAATGCCCTTTCCCATCTCCTATTTGTTGAAAACTCCTACTCATTCTCCAAGATCCAACTTTATTGTTGCACTTCTCCAAGCAGGATTAGTTACTCTAAGCAACTCACTACCAATAGTCCTTTCTTTCTTTCATGGTGCTATCTAGGGTCATATTGTAACCTTTCACTAGTCTCTCTCTCCTTTACTGGACTTTGCAAAGGCAGGGGAATGCCAAATTCATCTTGTATATCCTATGCCTACATGGTACTCAGCATACAGGATGAGTATGCTTGGTGAATGAATAAAATAAAGAAAAGAACAGGAGAGGGCAGAGCACACCAGATCCTGAGGCAGAGATGCAGTCTGGGAGAAGAGTTGTCCTAGGTGCTTCCTGACAACTTGGCCAGGACCTACTCATTACACATTTCATTATACAACAGTCAGTGTAGTGCTTTTCCATTCTAGTAAACAACTTCCCTCAAGAGAGACAGAGTTCTGAGGCCAACTTATTTGTCAGCTCTTCAAGAAGCAGGTAAACACGGACCACTTGATGGGTGTGTACACAGCAGGGCCATGCGGTCTGGTGCCCAGACGGCAGCAACAGGCAGTTTCCCACATCTCCATCTACAGATGAGGTTGGCATTGCACACAAAGGCGGCTGAAATCTTGGAGAAGGGCTTATCTCTCAAAGTTCTGAGCACTCCTTCCTCCTTTTATTTATTCAACTATACAAATGAAAAGCTTGAATTGCATATAATTCTAGGCCTAGAAGTTGTCTCAAAAGGCCATTGCTGAGATCTGTCCTCAACCCAGGACCCTTTCATAGTGTGAGACAATCCTAAATCCCCTTGATCATTTTTCTCTTTTTTCAGGCCTCAGAGGAAGTAAAAAATTACTAGTCATTAGGTTTGAAAAGGGTAAAAACAGCCTTGAAACTCTTTGGGCAGCTCTGACAATGAAGTCTCACCTTTTTGAAGGATGTGAGTAGCTTAACACTCACATATCCCAACTTGTTCCTCCTCACATGCTTTAGCAGGAAGGCATCCTTTTCCAAGTTTTCATTGGAAAAGTAGAATTCGATCTGATCCACCAGTTTTCTGATTAATTCCTCGTCTGGAGGCTTCCACTCCTGCTCCAGGTCCTCATGGTCATTCTCACCCCCACTTGTTGTGGTGCCACTGAGACCAGAAGGAGACACTGGATGTTATGAGCTGAATTGTCTCTCCCCACCCAGAATTCATATGTTGAAGTCCCAACATTCCCGGCTCAGAATGTGACCTTATTTGTAGTCTTACAAATGTCATTAGTTGCAGATAAGGCCATATCAGAGCAGGAAGGTCCCTAATCCAGTAGGACTCATCTTTACAAGGGGAATCTGGACACACAGAGAGAATGCTGAGTGAAGATAAAGACAGAGATGGGGAAAGGGGGGCATGCAGAAGGTAAGGAACATCAAAGATTGCCAAAAAAATACCTAGACCAGACTCTTCCATAGCATCTTGAGAGGGAGCATGCTCCCACTGACACCTTGATTTTGGACTTCTGGCCTCCAGAACTGTGAGGCAGTAATTTTCTGTAGTTCTAGGCCAGGCGTCTTCAAACTACGGCCCTCGGGCCACATGCGACCCGCAGAGGAGTCTGATCCGGCCCGCCAGGTTTTTTGGGCAGTGAGCGCAGCCGAGGTGTTACAGTAGGAATTAGTAGTTCATATAGTCCGGCCCTCCAGCTCTCTGAGGGACCGTGATCTGGCCCCCACTTTAAAAAGTTTGAGGACCCCTGTTAGGCCCTCCAATTTGTGGTGCTTTGTTACAGTAGCCCTAAGAAATTGCACTGGGCCATACCTGAATTGGACTCTACAGAGAGGATGATCACATGGCCACAGGGAATAGGTTTTGCTTCCAAAAAGCTAAGAAATCACACTTTCATTTTTAACAAGGAGATGGGACCATTAATATAACACACTCTACTAATATTTATGTGTTGTTCTTCTATCCGATGCTTTTCACAATACACTCTTTATCCTTCCCTCCCTACCTCCACCCTGCAAATCCTGATTTCCAGAAGGTAGTTTGGCAAAGTAACTAAGAGTCCCAGTTCCAAAGTTACACTGCCTGGGTTTGAATCCAGACACCACCATTTATTAACTGAGTCAAACTGGACAGGAGCTCCACTGCCACACCAAGGTGCCATTTCTATAAATTGGGAGTCATGATAGGATTACTGTAAAGGTTAGATGAATTAAGACAGCCCATATCCCAGAGAGTTCCTGGCATACCCATAGAGCTCAGTAAATGACAGACATATCCATTTGCTCATTCATAAGAGGAAGATCTAGGATCCAAATTCAAATTTGTATCTCCAAAGCCAGCACACACAATATTTTCCAGGTTTTTGTTGGGACCATGCCCTGAAATCTGAAACAATCCCATTCACCAGGGCCTTCTAAATGAAACCCACACTCCCAGGAGCTCTCCTGGATGACTTCCTCTCATGAGAATAGAACATGAGAACAAGCCAAGGAAATCCTGGGCAAAGTTTCTTCAGGATGGCCAACCTTTCACAAAGAGGTTATACAAATTTCAAAGCCATAACTAGGGAATGTGTGATTACCCAAGTCATAGTTGACACCATCATTAAAAGTTATCGAAGGTGATATATATATATATATATATATATATATATATATATATATATATATAAAGGAACCAAGATGGCGGTCTAGGTAAGCATCTAATCTGCCGCCTCACACAACAATTTAAAAAAACAACTAAAATTAGAACGGACTTCATCCAAAAACACAGAAAAAGCTGGTGAAGTGGGAAATCTACAACTAGAAAGAAGGAGAGAGGCTCACGGATCGGACTGGGAGCCACAAAGTGCTGAGGTAGGGAGACGCTCGTATGCAGAGAGGAAGTGCGGCTGAATGCCTAGCTGGCAGGAGGGGAGTAATTCCCAATTGCACTGAACCCTTTCTGACTGTACTGAACCCCAATCCCGGCCGAAACCCCATGGACCCAGGCTCATACGGGTGGAGTCTGGACTGTAGAGAAAGGCACCCAGAGACTCAGAGACTGGGAGACTGGGGGAGCCAGGAGCCACAGCAGGCAGGGTCTACAATGAGTACGCTCAAAAGTCTGACTGAAGAGGTTGCCGCAGCCTCTTCATAGCAGAAGGAGTCAGAAGCTACAGAAACCCAACCCAATTCCGGGTGAGCCCCTGGTGCACTCATGCTCTTGCACAGGGGTGGGATCTGGGACAGTCAGGCGGAAACTCAGGGGTGCCGCGGAAGGCAGAGGTCAGACGGAAACTCAGTCAAGCACACAAGGGGATGGGAAGCCAAGACTGTCAGCTCAGCCCTGAGACTCCGCCCCATCCAAGCTGAGCACAGAGGCTTCTGCAATTTTGCAAGTCTGATCCTATAAGTCTCCAATACAGAAGGTATCCCAAAGTAGCTGATACCCTACCCACATCCAATTGGCCTGAAGGTCACTTCCTCCCAGGGATACCAACAACAATAAAGACTTAGCTACAAACAAGGCTTGTACGCGCAGTCCACAAAGGGGAGCACCAAGAGTGTATACCTCAGGTAACTGGGGAGGCTGACCCTCTAGGCCATATAGGACACCAAACACACAAAGCCATCCCACTCTGGGAAGCAGCAAAAATGCCTAGACAAGGAAATAGATCTCAAATGAAAGAGATGGAGGATATAGAGTTCAAAACCGCGGTTTTAAGGTTATGCAAGAATATCCTAGAAAAGGGTGATACATTTCATGAGACTCAACTAAAAATTAAACATAAACTGACTAAATTGGAAAATACCGGTGTGTGTGTGTGTGTGTGTGTGTGTGTGTGTGTATGGAGAAAATTCCCATAGAACAACCACTAATCCCAGCCAATGCCAGCAACAATACTTGGAGATTAATACAAACTACAATATCCACTATTATTCAGTAAGGCTATGATGTACAGAAGTAAAAAACAAACAAAAACAAAGGATTTAAAAAAAATACAAAGCTACAATAACAGCATAAGAATAAGCATAACAATTTCACTAAAAAGCATAAAAATTCACTATAATCAACATTCACGCAAACAATGACAAAAGGATAGAGAGAACAGTTTGGTTTTTGTTTGTTTGTTTTTTAACTAGTTAATTTAGTGAAGAGAGTGGTATTTATTCACTTGGATCAGGGGGTTGGAAATTAGGTCTATAAGTATGGTGAGAGCTTTAGCAGGGGGTATACAGAAAGAATAGGGGAAAAACTAAAGCCAGAAAGGGATAGGATAAACAGGAGACAAAAAGGGTAAAGGTTAGTAAGAGAGTGATGGTGTAAAGGTCGAGTTGAGATAGGGTTGAACGATGCTATAGTAGTGATTAAAATAGAATGAAGACTAATCCCAATGTAAAATAAAGAGAAAATAAAATGGTACTGGAGAAAAAAAAGAAGAAAAAGGGAACAAAAAATGCAAAATAGCAGTAGTAATAGTGATGATTGAGATTGAGAGATATAATTGAAAAGGTAAAATTAAGTAAGGAAAAAAATTCCTTTATTAAGTAAAAGAAGTAAAAAATGAAAATAAAATAAAAGATGTAAAAAATGAAAATAAAGAATAGTAAAATTAGCATAAAACAGCATAAAAATGTCCAGTAGTGGTCATTCACTTCCTCTGTTATTGTATTTGGCACGCCTGATTTTTGGACCAGACAGTCTTGCAGTTCCCAGCGTTCCACTGCACCTCAGTTATTTGTGTCCATTTATTTTTGATTACTTAAAAGAAAAATAAAGGCAGTTTGTAATTCAGCCCTAGGTGGCAGTGTTTCTGGTTTGACCTCTCAGTCTTTTTGGTTGCTCTGGCCTTCTTTCTCTATGGCTCTAGCTGCTAGAGTGCCTGCTGGCTCCCAGACTATCTTTTCTGGCTCCGATCCCCCTTTTCCAGGAAGGCAATTTCCTCCTGTAGTCCCCAGGATATGCCCAACTGGGCAGTCCTTCCCTAGTATTCAGAAGCAAGGGGGTGAAGGGGATCAGACGCCAAGGTGTCCAGATGTTCCGTCCTTGACGGGACAGCCCCAATTCTTAATAATCTGTCCCGTGTCCCTTGTCCCTTGGCGTTTTAAAAAAAGTCCTGCTTCTGGGGAAAATTACACCAAACCTAGCACTGGGTCTCGCCTGGCAGGATTCTTGCTGCAGCCACAGCCTTCTTCCGGCGCAGAGATTCAACAGCAGAATGAAGGAACACAAGAATCAGGTCAAAGAGCCAAAAGACACTCCTCTGGAGAAGCAAGAAGAAAAGAGAATCCAGAAAGTTGAAGATAGTGTAAGGAACCTCTGGGACAACTTCAAGCGTACCAATATCAGAATTATGGGGGTGCCAGAAGAAGAGAGAGTGCAAAATACTGAAAACATACTTGAAGAAATAATATCAGAAAAATTACCCCACATGGTGAAAGAAATAGACTTACAAGTACAGAAAGCTTACAGAACCCCAAACAAGAGGAATCCAAAGAGGAACCCTCCAAGACACATCATAATTAAAATGCCAAGGGCCACGAATATACAATGGAGTCAAGACAGTTTCTGCAATAAATGGTGTTGGGAAAATTGGACAAACACATGCAAAAGAATGAAACTAGATCACCAACTTACACCATTCACAAAAATAAACTCAAAATGGATACAGGACTTAAACATCAGACGGGAAACCATAAAAATACTAGAAGCATCCACAGGCAGCAAAATCTCAGAGGTATGCCAAAAGAACTTCTTCACTGATACTACCCCTAGGGCAATGGAAGCTAAAGAGAAAATAAACAAATGGGACTACATCAAAATAAAAAGCTTTTTTACAGCAAAAGAAACCATCAACAAAACAACAAGAAAGCCCACAGTGTGGGAGAACATATTTGCAAATGATACCACTGATAAAGGTTTAATCTCCAACATCTACAAACAGCTTATACAACTAAATAAAAGGAAGATAAATAATCCAATTAAAAAATGGGCAATGGACCTAAATAGAACATTTTCAAAAGAAGACAGAAGGAAGGCCAAAAGGCACATGAAAACATGCTCAAAGTCACTAATTATCGGAGAGATGCAAATCAAAACAACAATGCGGTACCATCTCACACCTGTCAGAATGGCCAACATCAACAAATCAACAAACGACAAGTGTT